TTTAGTCAAATGGCGTTCCACTGTGTTTATAGTCGAAAGCAATGAGTTCATTGTGAGCGCCTTGGAAGTTCCGACCGGATATTGTCGAAGTTGTCATCCAAGCGACCCTAGCACAAAAAGCGGGTTAGCTTGTGATAACATCTTCATTTTTTTAGATACTGCCCAATACTAAGCAAATTGCCAGCGTCACGGACGTGGCTGTACTGAATACCATATATCAACATGAACTTAACTTGGTTTAGCAACATTTAGTATACTTACGAAACACCCGCCATCTTGACTATTTGCGTCACAGAAATGAAAACCAATTACGGAACGACGCAATGGCGCAGTGAGTTTTCCAAATTAAATTTGAAGAATACCCCACAGTTATATGGAATACCTACAGTTAACGATAGGAGTAATGACTTCCCCAAAGTGCCTTTAATATTGCGCAATAACACGACCATTTTTGTGGTCATTATTACTGTTATTATCGATTGTCATGGGCATTGGACCTACCGGCAGTCAGCCAAAGCATTTTACAAGGATCGTTTCATATGCCTTTCTCTGCATAACACCGTGTTGTATGGTCGAGCAGTCAAACGGTGTTACCACAAGCAATGGAGCGGAAACAAACGCGGAAAAGACCTCAAGCGCGCGCCGAAATCAACCACCCTCTTCAACCAGGGACACCAGCCACTCACCGATTGGCTACTTAAGACTTCGGTTATTTTCGAACCTCAGAAACCTCAGACGATGAGATTCTGTAGCTGTAGCTGTTACATTATCGGCCGTGTTGCTATTTTCACTTCTGAAGCAATGTGTTCACAAACAGACACAATATGTTGGTAGGCATTACTACTGAGGCGGTAGCGCCAGCTAGGAGGGCGCGCCGTCCTGTGAAACGTTAATGGAAATAGTCATATACATAGCGGTGGATGAGTAGGATATTTCAACATCTTTCGACTTTGTTGATTCTCTGTTGACGGCGGAATCGCACGTCAAAGCCAACGGCGACAAAATCAGCTTCCGCCTGCGGAAGGGAGTGGCGCTTGACGCCTGCTGCCATGAATTCGTCAGGTAAACGACGAAAACGGCGATGAGCATGACAACGAGAACAATAACATAACCAGAATCGTTGGACAATTGTAACGGAAACGTTGACACAAAGAGTATACTTGTAACAAATCGATAATAGCAGTGCCTGAAAGCCTTCAATTAGTTTCTACTTCTTGTTTGAATACGCATTTGTCTATGAAAGTTACGGCCCGCTAGAAATGTGCGTTCGTGAGTACATCAATTACGACTAGCGAATAGGGGCGGGTTGGCTTTTTTGACCAACTGCGAGAGAAAATAGTGCTAGCTCCAAAATGGATTCTGTCTTGCCCTGTAAAGAACTTAGCAAATAGGCTTAGCACTTGCATGAATACGTGAGGCATGCAAGGGTAAGTTTTGATAGAAGTAAATCAACATTGTTTCATCTATTGATTTTGACGAATATAACGCCCTGTCAACGGAGCGTATTATATAGCTACTTCTGTTTATGGCGTCAATATATTCATAATTAAAAACGTACAAGCCGTATAAGCTATGTACGTAAACCGTTATCGATAACAGTGCGCGGTTTAACTAATTTCGATGCCGTCGACAGGGCCAACAAAGACTAGATATACATGGCTGCTTGCAAGTACAGCCAAAGACATGCTGTTCATTGATTACCATACGAGGCTGTTTGTTTTTTTTTATCTAATCCTCTGTTTATCCTTTCGCCTTCCATTACCTGTAGGTTGACTCCTCTTAACAACACTATCCTGACTATCTTATACAGGTCGGAACTGATCGATATTGTAACCTGTTAATTTACAGTTCACAGCTGAAGCACTTGATTGCCAGGTGTTAACGGGTGGCGCATTAGCATGTGTCCAATCATTCACAGAGAAAACACAAACAAGCCCAATCGAGCAAGTGCTCGCCCGCCTGTGCTACACTTCTGGAACCTATAGAAGTAGCGTTATCAAACATTTCTAAAGTGATCTGTTTTACTGGTGTTGTTCGCCTTAGGTTAGGCAACGTCACCTAACTCTTCAGTAGTCGGTAGTAGGTGTACATATGTACATATATGCATATGGGGACTTAATTTCTGCTTTAGCAGTAGATGAAGGCCGCTCAGACCCAGTGACCATGAGGTCCACTATTAATGAGGTTAAGAGGCGTCCGAGGTCGCAGGCAAGATGATCTTGCGCCGCAGTCTGGCGATTTAACGACCTACTTCGTTGAGGCAAATCCACTTCATCTAGCCGATAGGCGATGCCGACACAGGTGGAGACACACGGCACCCCAACATCGAGACCCTGCTGCTAACGCTGATGCCAGCACCCATACATACGTACATAGTGAGAACGCAGAGCCAGCCAGTTAGAAGGAGCTGATCTTTCTTCCGCCATTGTTTTTCATCACTAAATCCTTCGGCTAAAACAACATGATCATCGGTTGCAACGGCAGCGCCAACAGCAAAATCATTAGGATCACAATCAACGGCTAGAACCACAATTCGAATGCTTTTTTTAGCGCGGTTTGCTCTGTCAAGTTTGTTACGTGGCCTTGCACACGAACTTTGTCAGTCGCGAATATCCGTGGTCGATTTTACGGTTGGCTTGTCTCTACTAATGACCCAAAGTATTATTGTGTCCTACAGAGTATGCTGTATGATGCCGTATGATGAAATCGGCTATTTATTCATAACGTGCTTGACTGCCTCTCGTCCTAAATGTATGTACATGCGTTGTAAGCAGCTATTTCAAAAAGAACAGCTAGAGTTCCATTATGCAACAAATTTTCCAATATTGGTTTTCGCGCTAGTGCGACGCGCAGTATTAGGCACTGATTGCGTCAAGTGCGAGAAATCGAGAAATAAAAACCTTAGCAAGGTGTGAATGTTACAGACACAGATCAGTTGGTTTATTCTTTAGTTCGAAATTCGAGATCCGAAGCACTCAGATTCAGTAACACGTAAAAATATGTGCCCAGAAATAACTAAATGCAAAAAAACACTAGTAATTACTGCACAAAATGAACATTTACATGACGCCCGCCACAAAAGCGACAAGGCGGGACGAATCCCCTGACTGACGGGCTAGATCTGATAATGACCGTTGTTGTTTCACTCACTGCGGTTCCATGATAGTCAGCATCATCATTGTGAAAGAATACATAGATCCGCTTACGTTCATGGTACATCCGAGACCGTAGCCACTGCCCACCGTAGGTGCGCGTTCTGGGCGCTATTTATCGCACCATCGCCGAAAGAACGGGCGTTTAAGAACAACGAGAGTATGCTCCCGCTAGACGATAAGATATCTAATAATGGCGGCATTTTAAATGGTCATAACATATAATAATTGGCAATAAAATCGTAGGTAGTTACTGTAGCTATCGCACTATTGTTACGCACGTAACACGTCGATAACATCGGCGTTATAATAGCCGCCGCTATTGTTGTCGTCGTTGGCTCCCTATAGGTACAAGACGTATTTACGATCAACTCGCACATGTTTTTTCCCCTTATCACAGTACGATACATAGTAGCAGCACAGCTTGGAGCTAGTACGTTTATTCGATTTTGTTTCGAAGACGTTTCACGACGCTCACCGGAGCGCTTCGAGCCACCACTGCGCTGTCCACGTCGAAAATAACACCCATGGACAGAGGGCTGCAACTAAGTGGCAGGTTGACTGAGCGTGGGCAGGGAAAATTCACTGTTGGAAATTTCGAATTTCTGTGTCCCTTTGCCGGTTTCTGTATCGATCTCTAATGGTGGACCATGCACGTAGCTGCACAGCTGTGAGAAAATTTGTGTTGTTGTATGTATGTTGGCGCACATAGATAGCCGTCAGTCATTGAGCAGCGTGCGGAACCAAGAAAGGAACGTTCACAAGGCATCGTAGCAGAGCGCGGGGCATGGACTCGTACGTTGTAACGGAATAAAGAATAAATAATCTAGAGCCGCAATAAAAAAACGTTAAAATTAGAACATTCTCCATGGTGCACGTAACAGTGGTCGCAGTTCAATAAATAAAGTTGTCATAATGATGATTGAAATCAGACGGTGTTCAACTGTTCTATATTCGCTAGTCGTAGTTAAGAAAAAAATTAGGAATTTTGGCAGAACTGTTAATTATAATGATGAAAACCCTTCTGCACAAACCGACACATTTTCGCAGACTAAGAGAAATCAAAAGAAACTGAAAAAAAAAAACATATATGGATTAAAAATGGAATATTGAAAGAGAACAATGCAACAGAGTCTGGAGGGAATGGAACAAATATATTGACTGTTTTACTATCAGTGACGTTTATATTGTGTAGGGAAATGAGATCGCTTGAAGTGTCCGCTGTAATGTGGACAAGTGTATTTTAACTCATCCCACCGACATGATTGCTAACGGTTTAACCACTTCCTTAATAAGGTCTATTTCTCCCTGATTAATTAGGGTTAGAAATGGAAAAACGGCCATTTTTCCAAAGATATTTCTTTTTTTGTATACCGTATTCGCAGTAATATGCTTGCTAGAGTCTGTAATCAATCGTTCCGATCCGAAGACGCCTCAGCAATCAAAGGCCTGTTCACATGGCGATTCGTTCTGTGATTACTGCTAAGAACATATTTTTCCTTTGATTTTCCCATCATATTCCCTTTGGGCACTAGAACAGCAGTAGCCACATCTGATTCACCGGCGACGCTGCAACGGCCTCAGCTTTTGTCGTCGTCTGCTGCTGCTGATGCTGCTGTTATTTAAAAATTAATACATAACACTAACTAATAACATAGTTAAAGGATTGCATTGAGTACGCTTTTTGTTGTGTCCTCGTCACAGTCAGTAGTCGATGAGCTAGCGTTGGTGAGAACTTTCAACGTCCAGCAGAAACGCCACACGACGTGCAAATCTTGTACTACCATTTCATATGTAGACAGCCCTTAAAAAACTGGCTATTCGTCTCTAATGGATGGCTAGCCGCGGCCTCATGTATGAGCCCATTCGCACAGCAACAAATTAAATCGGTACGAATATGCCACACACGTGCACAGATGCCCAGAAATAACGAAGGAAGCGACGAGGTCAAGAGAGACCGAAACAACGATCCTAGTTTTCTACCCAGAAGGACACAACAAGTTCCTCCAGCTTTTTAAGTTCGAACAACAGCCGACCGAACGTGTTGATTGAAATGACCTAATACCATTGAAACTGAAGTCTCCCAAAAACCCTATCCTTGTTGAAAGTGTACATCTTTTTTTACGCGACGTATGGAGGCCCATGTGCCCGCCTGCTGCGTTTCTGTCTGCGACAGAAAAAGCGTTGGTTAGTCATGATGTTGCTACTTGTAAGGCCGCTATCACCAGTCAGAGAAACAGTTTCAAGGGTAAAAGGAAGAAAGACACTCGATGGATTCAGTGGCAGCATATTTGTTTGACAAACATGGGATACAATTTGTCGTGCTGGAAGAGGTCAGCCGCCTGATGCGATGCTTAAAGGCCGTACTCGACGTGTACGTCACAACATTTAGCGACAAGGTGCAGCTTTCAACCGGTAATATGCAGGGCAAATACCACTATTGACTTTGCCGCTGGTGATCCTAGCCATTCTTGATCTTAAAGGCGAGACGTACCATTTGCGGTATAAGCAAATGCATAAAGGACTCGGAGGCTTGTCAGTGGCTAAATCTAAGTTGAACAGTGTGCGTACAAAGGCTGAACGTCTATTGTAAAATAATATTTGTTAAAGGTCGGGTAAAATGGGGCCCTGCAACATGAACAGAGTACGGCTACTGGAAACTCGTTAAGCGTTTTTTTCTTTTCGTGATTATGGCTTAAAAAAATATGCTAAACGAGTAAAGAAAATAAAGAAAGGTACTCTAATGGTTTTTAGTTCGCGCGCCGTAGAGCTTTTCGGTTAACCCCGACTGTAGTAGGGTAAGTTAGCGTGATGATGGCTATTTATTGTGGCACTTGTTAACCTTGTATTGTTATGTCAACAAAAAAAAAGACTGTTTCATTTTATATTGTCGTTATTTCTGTCCGCGTTCGTTTCGATATCCTTGAGTGTGTGAATTATAAACAAGTGATGATTGTAACAAATCAAACGTTACGGGACTTCATTAAAGTGAGTATTAATCGTCGTCGTATTAACGCAAGCTCACATGTTGTGATCCATAAGAGATTATGAAAAAACAAAAATTGATTTTTAATGAAAAAAATAGCATTTATTTTTAATGAACGTAAATGTATGCTCCTATGATTATGTTTCAGAAATGGTTTGCTAGTCGATGCCATTAACAAACTGTTGATCCATCAAGGAAATGTCTATCTGGTTTTCCCTTGGGTAATCGCTCAGACGGCGCACCGATGCTGTTTCCCGAGAAAATCTGGAATAATTCGAGCACCAGTTTCGAGAGCAGCTAACGCGTGGGTGCTGTAATAATGCTACTTCTACTAATAGTGACAAGTAAGGTCACGAACTTCGGTAGTAGCCCTGTCACTGCCACGTCTATCCTGTCGTCCGTTGCCGTACTTGTCAATGACTGTTTATGGCAAAGCCAGGCGTAGGACATACACAGTTGCACGGAAGAGCGAGCAAAATATTGCACACTGTGACGTCTCATGTGCGTACTAACATTTAAACATTGGTAGATTTAAACGTAAGGTACATCATTGATGCGAGTTCTCAATCACAATAACTCAATTAAAATAGATTACTTTTATTAGAAGGATATGATAGGAGAATTACTACGAACGTTGTCAACGAATTGAAAGATGGTAAAGCCCTAGCATCAACCTAGCACGCCATTATTCAAGCTTTGCCTGACAAAGAATAGCACTCACATATACGTGTTTGGTACGAGTCATAAATTGCATATATATAATTGATTACAGATTTTATGACGATATTCATTTTCCCTAATATATATTCTAATTTAAACGAGATATTTTATGAATAATATCAGTAATAATGATAATTGCAATACTATTCTAGGCAGAAACAGGCTTAGCGTTAGTAACATCAGCACTGGTCTGTAGTTTGTAGAATGTGTATAGGACACAAGTTTTCCTTTTTGTGAAGAATCGACGATATATTATGCGTTCACTGCACAGTATTTTTCATTAATGCCTCGTTCTGCTCCGCGTACGCCAAGTTCTCCTGACGCATCGCTCGCTTATTCATCTGATCGACGAAAACAAGCCTGAGGAATTAATCCTTTAATCCTAGGATCATGGTCGACTGGCAAGGCATTGTATTTCACTGCTGGTTAGATTCACTAAACAGTTTTTTCCCACATAATTTGCTTTGATTCCTCTATATATAGCCACTTGCAAATTTCTACATAATCATAACTTTTGCGCATTTAGAGCTACAAGCAACAATACGCCTTGTACTGTTGCCTTACGAAGGTGATATCAATGAGAATAAAAGCACGGGAGACGCTTCGAGCATCACTACCCGAAAAGAGATTATGATGATCATTAAAGCAAAACCCAAAATGTCAAGGTCATCCTCGTAACGTACTATCGTAAAGTTTGACGTCCCGTTTCTGTTTTAATTAAGCATTACTTTAGAGAGCTTAAAATATCGGACGTCTGTTTACGGTTAGTTTCGAAGCTGGACCCTACCGCATTAACTCGTGTAACTAAATTTAGCGGAACAACGGCCATCTAAAATCTAGAGAGCACATAGCGCATACAATGATTGGGCACCTATCAACTTTGTATCAGAAGAAATACGTTGAGAAGAAGGAACCACTTCGAATAGCATTTGAAGATGCTTATCTGATCTACCGTCACAGAGGTCTAATTGTTTTAATCAAGAAAATTCTTTAGGCACCAACTGGAACCTGTGCATGCAATTAACAAAGGAAAAAAAAAAAAAAAAAAAAGAGAAAAACGGAAGGGAAAACACAGCTTACATATTAAGACCATTAATACATCTGAGCAGCCGACACACTCATGACAGCTATCTACCTAAAAAATTGATCTTTTTAGCCAAAATCAAAATTGAAAACATTACCATGTTAACAACCAGACGAGGTCAGAAGCTTTTAACACAATAAAAATACCAAGATGCACTAACCATATAAAGATAGATTACTTTTTCCTTCTAAATCTGGGTCACCTCGCGCTGATTTCAAACGATACTAATTTTGAGAAGTATTAGATAAAATCGAAATTATCTCTTACGAAGTCGTATTACTACTTTGGCGTAGATGAAATGTCATCGCAAAACCAAGAAAGAAAAAAGCTCGCAAAACCGATCTTCTTTTTGCGTAAACTTAATACCATTAACTAAATTTCTTGACGTATTATACTGCACTTTTTCAATAATGTTACCTCTCGGTCCTCTTCCGTCTAAATCAAATGCGTATTGAGCATATTTCGTTTTCAACTTTCGACTGGTTCGGGGTGGGCACTTTTCAATATCAGTACGACACTGCTACGTGCGCACTGCAGACCGCGAAATCGCTGCGTTTGACATCTTACGGAAACTTGTGTTACCAGAACTCGTCTCTCATTGGATCCATTTCGACCGATGTAGCGTAGCGTGGTGGCTCAATCCGCCAGAGTCCCTTCTCGTTTGAGATAACTTCCTCCATTTTTTTTTTGTTTCATTCCCTCGACGTCTTTTCGGTGTTTCGTTGCGCATTAGCATGACGTATCACGGACGAATAACGTTTTGTCCTTTTTCTATGCAGACGAAACAGTCTATCTGTCTTACAGGCCATCAGTGATAATAGTGCTGGTATTGGAGCGACCATAACAACGCGCGTCTGTTAATTTGACCCTGATTCTTTCGCTGAAATTCTTTGATTTGTCAGTTTTTGGCGAATTCGCCTTTTCTGTTGCTGGCATGGTTTTCTGCAGAAGTCTCTTGATTTTTTGCTACGTTCGACCTTGCTTTCTTTATCCTCTGGCTGTGTCTATTTTAAAGTTCTCCCAGTACTTGCGATAGCTTCCACTTTCTCGGTTAAAGACATATCGGAAGGCGCGATCAGCGCCGCACGGTGTATACGCTAAACAAAGAGGACAAACATGTTATGGATAACATCAAATGCAAGTGGAGATTTATAAGTTTTAATGTAACGGAATAGCTTTACTGGAAGATTAGAGTTTCATTTATAATTATTACTTCTTTTTTTTTTTTTTTTTTTGTTGTTATCTAGCTAAAAGGAGCATCACGCACAATGGGACTGTCGAATCGGGCAGTCAAGAGGCGGCAAGGAAAACCACTGCATGTTATAAGCTGAAATGTGTACGCAGTCCGGGAGGCGATAGTACTTTTGAGTGATGGTGAGACATTGGCACAAAAATACCGATATAAATAATTTTTAATATACGTTTAATAACGCACGTTTTTTGCCAGTTAAATGGTTACGATTTTCATAGTTAATATCATAGTACTGCAGTAATTATATTTATAATATATTTTTTTTATTTAGTGCTAGTCCAACTTTTCGGACCAATGTCCTGATAGTGCTTATAACCGTATGTACTTCAAACGCTGCTGTACAAATAACAGCAATTTCTAATGGCTATATATATATATATATATATATGTATATACCTTACGTAAGATGTCGTATTTACCAAATGCCCTTCTAAACATTGTCGTTTATGCCATACTTCACTCACGGCATCATTTTCTTATCTATTCAAAGTTCTCTTTGTTTTGCTTCCAATGTTTACGTTTCTCCTATATATATGTATATATGTTTATCTATCTATAATAGATCGGGTTTGCATATTCGCAAGTCTTTTTTTTTTCTATTTGAAATGTCCAGCAACCCCATTCGTCGGCAGCACACACAAAATGACAATATCTAATCCATTGGGATAACCGGAAGACGCACACGTAGTGGACGTTGAGTACTACTACAATACTTTATCACCACCACGATACCCAGCCGACCGTCATTTCCATTCAAAACTATCAACAGTAATGGCGCCGTTGCGTAACAATTCAGAGAACGAGGCAGATATGGCGTTTAGCCTTGCAGCTGCACTATATTATGGATACCACAGGTGTGTATGGCAGAATTTACTGAAGGTAGAGACGCTGCCTATTTTATGTTATCGGTCGAACGGCCAAGTATCCGATAATGATCTTTTATGTTGTATTACCATTTTGTACGATAATGCCTTCTTAATGTCTCGCCTATACTGTATCGATGTATTCTTATTGACTCAGCTTCGCTCTCAATCTTATGATGGCCTCCCACGCTACTTCAGAGTCACTTCACAGAATGAACTCATACGATGGACTTTTCTAGATGTATTCGTTCTTTCTTGACGTGCATATTGGCCCATGCATTTGTTTAACATTCGACTTTTGCTCGAATCAATGCGCTGATGAGAGGCCGGTAACACCACTTGAACAAATTGTGTATTGCATCTTCACACAGCCTTCAATGTCGTAGCGAATAAGGGGATCCTATTGATCGCTTCTTTACGTATACACTCTGCTTATGTATATGCGTACTGCTGTATGTACCCTATGTAGATGGCATCGAAGTTTGCTACTATCATAGAAAGCCAACCCACTAAATAAGTAGAAAACCCAAGAAATCTAATAAGCCCTTTATTATATCTGGTTCACCACATCACAACCATGTTATACATTATATTAAGCACTAGGTAAAGGAATGTAGGCTTACTTCAATTGGCGAAAGCGTGCACGCACGTGCCGTTGCTACTGCATGAAATCAAACCTTAGTAGATTATTATACTAATAGTCTTTCTATAAGTTTACATTTGGGTTAAGAAGATCTCCAATGTTCTTTCGTTGCTATACGGTTCTGTGATTGCAATACAACGAATGGTGAGGTTTATTCTACGGACCAATTATCTTATACAATGATCTTCGTTATACCTGAAACTGTTCATCGTTTGAGCCCTAGCAGTTCTTTCTAATGCTGTCAGATCGGTGACCCTCGATAAAATAGCCGACTAAACGCACTGCACTCCTGCAGAATAATTGAGCATCGCCCGTTATGTGGCCTAGTACAATACAATTAGCACAATGCGGTTGTAAGGTAGAATATTTTGGATCCGTGTGTACGTAAACGTGGATCTGTATGCGTGAGTTGCTGGAGAATGGGGGGCCATACGGAAGCGAAGCAGTAGCTACATTAGTAGTCACGAGGGCAACGACGAATACCTTTTTCTGGGTGCTGGTAACCTTTTTGATTTGAAACGAGCAGATATAGCAAAGCTCTGGAAGTGGTTCTTGTCCCGGGGCTAACCATCACTGATCCCGACAGACTTGCGGGCGGGAGGTTGAACAGCCCTCGACAGCGCCAGGACAAGCGGTATCGGGCACAATAAGCCAGCTGTGCTGATCACTACATGATAATCGAGTTGATCATAATTGTACGATCAATGTTATGTAATACTGGTTGCTACACTCCATGTACGAAGGCAATGCTTTAATCATCCAATGAGAAGTATTAGTCATCAATGGTGCATCGCACATATCCATAATGGCGTCTAGCCTGCACAAATATACATGAAAACACATACATCCTTATCTAATCATTCATCCATAAAGGTACGAACGTGTACAGGTCGATGCGGTACACGACGGGGGTAACCAGCAAGCCAGACTTCGGCGCTAACGATCCCAATAGATCACCACTCACGTCGCAGATGCTTTAACAGAAAACCATCTGCAGCAGAAAGCAGTCTATCAGAAAATTACGATCTGCTAATACAACGACAGTACTTGAAGTAATAATGGACGTTAGATGCGCATACAAGAGATAGTGACGACTGCTGCCCTGCCGATTTTCAACCAATGATTCTGTATTCGTAGACACAATGCACGATCATCGTTAAAGTTACACAATTGTGGTTCCATTATATGTACGTATGAAACGCTATTACCGTATATGTACATGAAATATTGTCACAATTCGATAACAAGACGATTATGTACTGTTATATTATATATAACTGGTAGTTAGGCATTAACTTCTTGAACGTTCTGCACGAGGCTTTGACCTTCTCACAAAACCTGCCACTGGAACTTTGTCAACTGTAGATGATCCATGGTTTAGTGGAAAGTTGACGGCTAGTTTTGACCCTAAATGTATACAAACAACACTGCGAATGCTGGACAAAAAAAAGGTCGTATGGAAATTCGGATAATTTTCAATGTAGGACATTTCATTTAAGTCAGTTGTCGTTAGCGGCGGGACTTTTATAGCAATGAACCGTTATACTAGCTATAAACGCAGCACTTTGTTTAGCAATTTATTTAAATGACGATTCAGTCAGCAGTTCGTCTCGTTCGACCCTGCCCGGAACAAATGCGAAAGGTCGAAGAGAGAGTTTGGGCCTTTCTAACTCTGGCAGAAGTAAGTACCTGGTTGGCCATACCATTCGCGCACGTCCTATTTCCCCGTCCACACACAGGCACACCTTATAAGCCTCGCTTTTATCGTCCTGTATTCCTCTGTGTCTAAATGAATACTGATCGTTGACTTGGCGTATATTGTGGCAGCAAAGTCTATGCGCATTTTTTTCTCACATACGTTTTGCTCATGAATAGTCAGAGGTCAGCCATGTATCGACTGCGAGCATAGCTCCTTAGTGCCGTCTTAAAGTGGCATGTACGGCTTTTTCTTCAGATCCTTATTGATATGCCGATTTGAAGAAACACCCGTTGAATTCTTTCTTATAAGTGCCGAAAACCGCATGTGCTAACTCTTATCCTGCTGCCCGAGAGCGAACTATCGAAACAATTCCGGATAGCTAGCCGGTCCACACCGATGACACACGCGAAAGATCGGAGCACGGATCAAGTACCTGGAAATTAAAATTGGAAAATCGCTCTCTATAATAGCAGAATCAGGTCTGTATGCGGTAACGTCTCTCCAGCTTTTTTTTTTTTACTGTTGCCACATGTAACATCGTCGACGATCGAAAAGTGCACATCGTACCGTTACTATTAAGTTAGACAGAATATCGCGCCTGTTTGCAACTAAACATATCCGCCATCGACCTATCAGCCTTACGATAGATTCACGATAGAACTGAACGGACCTACAAGCGATCCAATGAATTAAAGTTTAGCAGAAAGCTAACCACATCCTGCCAAGTTCCAATAGCAGTTTTCTTGATTTCCTTTGCTCCAGATGTCGTCATTAAAACGCGCCGCCATCATCGTCACGCGAAACGGCGTCACATAGTGCATAGAACGGCAACGGTATTGTTACCGTGCTCACGTTTAGCCCAAGCATTCATTATTGTTACCATAACACGTGTAATACTCAGATATTATGTAGAATCCCTGCCCTGCGGTTTTTCTCGCGAGGACAGCGCAAAATCACCGTGTCATCGTAGCTATCTCTAACTGCATCCGGTTATCCATTATCACTGCGTTGATCGACAGCGGGCATTTAACGCGAAGCTATAGCTACCGACAAAAATCCATGCATGAAAGGATAGTGACGGAGGAATGGACCATCTAGTGAGCCGCCGCCGCCGCCGCCACCAGTGGCGCAAATACCAAATCTGTTTTCATAAAGTCCGGTCAATCAAGGCAAGTACGTGGAACGACCTTGACCACGAAATTGCCCTCCTGATTATTCTAATAACAGCGGTCGTAACTGCCGTAGGCACCCTTCACTTGAGTGGCAGCAACCATAACGACGGGGGCAAAGCACAGAGATATGAAGTAGTGAAGCTAGTAAACGTTACTCGATTTAGGTGCTCGGCCCCCCTTGATCGTCGGTCAGATTCCGTTCTGAAGCCAACTGAGATGTCTAGGCAAGTCTGCAGAGAGAACCGTAGCAAACGAAAGACGAAGCAATTGATCGACCACTCCGATAGAGCCTTTCTCCTTTATAAAATATATTATAAATCGTGGAGCTGCTGACTTTTATCTAGCGTTCATGATGTGAATTATTTTGGGCTTGACAATGTGGGTCAGCGTGAAAGAGGCGACTAATTTGTAGCACTGCCCTATTCAAAATTTACAGCTCATTGCAGGACGACTCCGAAAGGATTCAGAAAGATATGTACTTTTGCTTACTTTTTTATTGGCTCAAGGATTAATTTCGAATTCGTTGTAACAGCAAAATCATGACCGATACCTCCGGAAATGGCGCGAAGTAACGCGGATATTTGCACCACTTTAGCACAAAAGCTATACGTCTTTCTATCTTTTCCTACATCAAATACAATTATGTATATGTAATGTCAAAGCTAACAAATCTTCGCGAGTAGCTTGTTGTACCAAAGTGT